TATCTTAATTTTTTTCATCATATTAATTGTGAAACTTATATCTATTACTTAAAATAATATACAAGACGAAATATAACTTTTTTCATAATATGAAAAACTATTAAGTCCGTGTAATTATTGCTCAGTATATACACAGATGACATAATACTCGTAGCTTTTACCAAAACATTACACGTACTTAGAGAAATACCGTTGAGCTGCATGAAATTGTAGTAAGTAAAATTGCTTACGGATTGGGTGACCATTATAAAAACGCTCCCTACCACATAATAAAGCTTTGCTATTTAGCTTTCAAATAGAATCGGATGAGGATCCAAAGTGGTACCTGATTAAGATCTTTGCTCTCTGAATCCGTTTGTTTAAATCTTCAAATGAGGTAAAAATCGAAAAATCTCATGTGATTTGTCCCTTAAAAGTAAGGTTTATTATTGCGCTTTTAGACTTTAATATGGCTTAGGTACTTATTTGTAAGCTTAAAATTACCACTAAAAACAAATAAATATGTCACATATTATACTATATTTTTTTTAAAGTAAAGAATGTATAAAACATTTTTATGAAGTTATAAACGAATGGCTTACGATTAATTTGTCACGTTCCTTGGAGAATGCTTGCCAATAGGCGTTTCCCATTTACGTTTTATTAGATTGTGCAAAATATTTAATAGCAACGAAAATTCACCTTACTGGAATCAAACTCATAATATCAAGACTATGTTAACTGCATTAGGTACTACTGAGTCACGACAACCGTCTATTAATTTAAAGCATAATTAATATTCTAATAATAAATTAGAATATAAATAAGAGAGCTATGAAAATAAATAAAGACACAAATCGCATAAAAGACAGTAGAAAGATAGTATAAAGTAACATTAAAGTGAACGTGGTCAACGAGAATAATTACCAGAGTCTAGAGGGGTGGCTACGAGTATGAGGAAGTGGCCCGCTGACCACCCCCGTTGCCTGGCAACCACCTAATCATCATAAACATATAGCCCGCCATCTTATATGTTAGAGATTGTGCTTATATTATTAATTGTTATTGCTTTTACATGAACTATACATCTAAATACTTAAAATCATAATGCCGTCCTAGCGCAGTTTGTCGGGTTTTACACATTTCGTCGAAAGTTACAGGTTCAATTTTGAAAACAAAAAATGAAATTTTGTGGTGCATAAAATGTAAAAAACCCCCTAAAACTATACAATTATACGCACACTTTTGTATTGTCTATCAATAAGACGTAAATATTAATTCGTTAAGTATGCACTTCTTCAGCACTTATAAATAACAAGAGCAAAGTCAGAGGCATTTTGGATGTAAGGTAATCCTTTCACTTGAGCGTTTAACCCTCCGTTTAAAGTGTAAGCCGAGTGAATTTTTAATAAATTTCAAAGAGATGTCAATCGCGTGTTTTATTTTGCATAGGGTTTAGCGGCAAGGGGTGCGCGAGTACTTTTCTCTGTACGTCATTTGTTTGTCTCGGGAACACCCTCGCTCTAGCTTGCATCGAGACTGCACTTATTTTTGACAGCTTATCAAATGATATTTTAATTGTGTACACAGTGGCTATAATAAACTGACGTTGTGATAAATGATATAGTTCAATCTGGTATAATAAAACTAGGGTTAGCGGTGAGTAGCTAATTTAATTAATTTGTGAGATTCCTTTGCTTGCTTTGAGGATTTGTTTAGAGACTAGCATAGCCCGCGGATCCACCCGCGTTCAGATGACCAAAAACCAAATTCTTAGGTTTTACATATTAGTATACTCTTACATTGTAGTTTTTGTAGTTTTTCTCAGAAATGAGACATTTTCCTGTGGTAAAGAGTATCCTATATGTTGACCGGGATAACCAGCTATCACCATACCAAAGTTCATCAAAAAGAGGTTTTTCTGTGATGCGGTAACAGACAGACAGACAAAAATTCTAAAAACTATAGATTCGGTCTCTGTATCGATAGTAATGTCTATTTCAATAAGATTTTCCAAAAAATATTTAATGTAAAGATTCGGCTTTGTTACAATTTTATTATATGTATAGATAGATATTCTTCTTTTATTAAGCGCGATAAATTCTAGTTAAATAATAACATAATGTTATTAACTAAACATTTATTGTAAACAATTGTTTGCTGCAACAGTTTAACGTAACTGCTATTTAACACAAAACCGATTTAAATTATAGAGAAACCATCGCAATCAGACCGTGTTATCATTTACGAAGGGCCGCTATTTAAAGAACAGTCAATTCCAACTTTAAAAAGGGTAATAGATGCATGTCTTGTAGACTAAGTCTTAGGGTAAACGCTTCCGTGAGACTGGCCGAGTCGATCGACCGATCTGACAATTTTCAATTTGTATGCTGGCCACTCCAGCCCACCCCGAACGTTCTCACGCCACTTTTACGTTTTACTTAATTATTATTTCCTTTTTAACCAACTAACACATGTTCACCGGCTAACTATTATACATCGTGACTTTATTATAAAGTTGATTAGTTTTTTCATATTCCTTCATTATACCCGGCATTAGCATTATTATTTTTAATAGCTTAAATAAGCAAATTCTCAAGTATTTTAAGTTTGTCGGTAAGTCATTTAAGCATGATTTATATAATTATGTGTATTGTTTATGTTGTAAACAATACTCTTATAGAATACGTATGTGGGTTTTATGTTCCGTTATGGCAAATATTTTTATTGATCATTATAATATTTCTTTAGTGCTGATCAGTACCATTGGTTAAATCATCGAATCATTTTGTAATATTTTATTACTTAAAAGGTAATTATTATACATATTTTAATAATTACAAAATCTTTTTTTATATAAAATATAGGTACTTAGAGTATACACAGTTATTTAAATGGATTTCATTATACTTTTATTAGTCAATATTTCTATAAATACTTATCATTAAGTATTCGATATAGTTTTTAAATTAACAGTAGAGATAGAAGTAAGCCAAAAATATTACTTTTAATTTGTTCCCTTTTTATACTCGTAGTATGCCTTTCTTGTCGTGACAATTAATAATTTATAAATAAATATGTAACAAAACAATCAATAAAGTATACACACACAATTATAAACGAATGCGTACTGAATGAATTTTTAAATATTACGCTGGTGTTTAAGATGAATGAACATAGTTCCTATGAACTAAGAATGGGACCCGGAGAGACGAGCACGCTTCACCACCTACCTATTCAGGATGTAGCGATTATGGTGAAGGTCTAATGATCGCAGCCCACTTTGGCTCTACAAACGCGCACAGGTTTTTGCGACCTTTCTTGCTCTTCTTACCTCACCTTAGTACGGGATGGCTTATAACGGCGACGACAACTTATACTTCTTATGATTCATAGTAGGCAGATAAAATTATTCAAGTCATACGGACTCGAGACGAATATTAAATAATACATTATGATATTATAATTCTTGCTGTAAACATCTACTGGATTGCATCGCATACCAGTTTCCTATTTTGAATCTGATTAATGTACTTAAATGGCTTTATTTAATTAAAACCGTTTTTTTATTTTAAATTTATGTTCCAGTATGTACACGATATAATTATAAAAATTCAAGTCTTTAAGGGTTCTAGTTACATATGTTGTTAATGTTAAACATAACATTTTTTGGTGTGCTTCCATTAAATATTATGTCGTAGGTTTGATTCTAGATTGGACCAATGTGTGTATTTATATTAACTTTAGTATTTTTTAAAGCCTGTATGAATTAGTGGAGCGTTAAAGATTGTTGACCAATACGAATTATCTACAAATAATAGGAGAATTTAAAAAATAAAGGCATTTGTTAAAGTTATCATACTATTTCTAGGTATTGAGAAAAGAATTAAAAAATAATTCATACGTTAATCATTGTATGAAATATTTAAAGGGTTCGTGAGAATAGCTAATTACACTGACAATTTTATTCAGTGGGTGGTTCTAGTTGAATCCCACGTCGTCTCTCACGAACGCAGCCTAGCAAGTGTCAATTATGGAATAAGCTACATCGAAATATAAATATACTTTGCTATTAAAATACCGTAATCACTTATGCAAAAACGATCGCGATACATTTATGTATGTATTGCGAGAATCACATTAGTGACATTAAAATCCTCCCTGCATTCGTTAGCAGTGTCTGTGTAAGGCAAAATATGTGCACCGACTTGATTTTGCTATTCGCTCCGTATGATTTTCAGAAATGGCTGTGGCATATAGGCACTAAGGATACAATATTTTTATGCAGTCCGTTTTTCCTTAGCGGCTGTTTTTACTGTCATTACCTTATCTAAAGTAGGAAAATCGCTTGAGACGCTACATTCTAATGAAAGCTCGCCAGTGCGCGCGTGCGCCGCTACTCTGAGTGGGTAGGGCTATCACATACATCTTTATATAGCAACAATTTCGATTGTGAACTTTTGCTTTTATATGTAAAGTGTTGTTATTTGCGTATTAGTAGTTAGATATAGTACAGTCTTTTAGATACTGAGTATTAATTTTAAGTTTGTGTTTTAAGTATATAGCGTTTTCAGAGAGAATACAAGCTTAACAAAAATGACTATATGTAACAAAATATAGGTACTTGCATTATAATATACATATAGTAATTTTTTTGTTATATTTTTAAACCGCTTGTTAAGTGATAACCCTGGTTTTTTGTGATCATAATTAAAGTCATGGTGCTATTACTTGTCTTTATATTTAAATAAAAACTTGATTGCAAAAGATTTTTTTCAAACTACATATAGTTTTCATACATATATTTTTATGAAGACATTCTATGCGACTTGTAATTCATCATAATCGTAAATAAGTCATTTGATAACCTCCTCGATAATATAAAATTACTCTAAAGACCTCATCATAAGGGTTTGCATCGTAAAAGGAAATATAGTAGCAGTGTTTAGCGCGCTAATTCGAGAGAGTTAGCCGGAGTACCGATGTACGATGGCATCTTCACGGCTTACAATAGTAAACAAATGTGTCGCGCGGGCGCAATTACACTGAAGGGAGGCGCGGGCGCAGCGGACGTCACGCCGAGTGCCGGGCGCCGGCAAATCGCGCGCACATCACGCTCTGCTACCTCTCAGCTCTGGACTTATGCTAATGGTCCCTACGCCGCGTAAATTGGAGTGAGTCTGCTGCAAAACGAAATGCGTCCGCCTCTTTATCTTATTACTTCAGTATTGGTCGTGGAGGTATGCCACTCTATACAATGCCTTCTATTTCACAAAATAGCTTCTAAGTTAAAGTTTTATAGCATATTTTCATTCGACATCTCAGCTAGGGGTCCAGCTCGTCCAGCATACAGATTGGTATACCGGGAGAAATTCAAATACAAAAACTAGCGCGGGAACGAACGTGAAACCGATTAAAAAGCCACATCACGATTTTGTACGCCCTTTGCACTCACTAGATCTCATGAAGGCGCAGGCTACTTGCTCTAGCTGTAATATATATAATTAAGGTGCTTTCACTTTTTTCATTTTGTTTTCTCACTTCGTTAAAACGAATTGTTTTTGTTAATGAGTGTCAATAAATAACAAAGGAAAGGAAATAAATATATATAGTAATTTGAGATGATATAGTATCCCAAATAATTAATATAAACCAATTAATCCACTTATAGCTCTATACGATTTAAACAGTGGAACGAATAGTGTTTTTTAGGGTTCCGTACGCAAATGGAAAAACAGGATATTACTAAGACTCCACTGTCCGTCCGTCTGTCTATCTGTCCGTCTGTCACCAGGCTGTATCTCGTGAACCGTAATAGTTAGACAGTTGAAATTTTCGGCAAATACTAAAAAACAGAATAAAATAAATATTTAAGAAGGCTCCCATACAACAAACGTGATTTTTGTTGCTCGTTTTTGCTAGATATTGATAACGGCAACAGGTAGACGCTTCAAATATTCACGGAATATTTAGTTATATATTCACTTTAAAAATAAATAATTAATTTAAAACAAAGCAAATATTGAAGGGTGGCTCCTATAAAACAGACATGATTTTTTCCCGTTTTTATTGATAATGGTACGGAACCCTTCGTGCACGAGTCCGACTCGCACTTGGCCGGGGTTTTTTTAAATACAGAAAATGTGCGTTGAGCTACCATGATTCAATATTCTTCTGTCGATCAATAATAATAGATCCTATCAGTAACCGGTATGTGGCATCACATTTCATATAATAAGACTTCTATACATCGCACCGTGAAATGTGTCGATACAAAAACTTAACTAACTATAACGTGTGAATCGTATTAAAAAGGTGTTTAGTCATTCGACTTCATAAACGGGTGGCATTCGGTATGTCGTGATTAAATTTCAACCATTTACACCGTTACGCCGATCGATAGATATAAGCGGATAATGTGCACCTACAAATAATCCGGCAAATAGAATTTCGGTTGCGAAATAGCTTTCCGTTATCTGATAATTTTGTTATGGAAACATCATTCAAAGTTGATGATCGTTTATATGGTATTTTATGATATCTACCGGCAAGTTGTACGATTATTTAACAGTCTGTTCAATAATAATTTGTTTTAAATTTTTTGTAGAAAATTACATGTTACTACTTTTTATGAATAATATCTGTTTATATTTAATTTTGCTTCTAAAATACTACACAAACGATATAATTATAAATCTACCTGTAGTTTTAAAAACTGGACAGCAAACTCTTAAGTTAAGTTCTAAGATGGAAACAAACACCGTGGCCATTTCGTTGTCATCTTCCACCCTGCAAGAGATAGAAAAAATAAATAAAAAACGCATGTACTTATTATTAATATAAAATAAATAATATATGATAATGAAGGGCTTAAGCGCAATTTATCAGAATGCTCCCAAGCAGACAAGCATTTAGATTGTGCAAGGGAAAACACAGGTAATTCGCATTGAACTGACACGTAGTCCCGTTAAAGTAAGCAATTTTGTTCAATTGTCTTGCAAAGCGAAGTCCGCCAATAAACAATCGCTCATATTGAATGAAAGGAAATGTCCGTCTGTAAATTAGTCCGGTAACAAGAGAAACCTTTAGAGTCTGCCGTTTATTATATTTTAACGGTTTAAATTGTAAAAACCGAGGTAATAGCTACGAACTAATGTATTTAGCATGTTGCTTAATGAAGTTGGTATGTTTTAAATTTTATTAGTGCTACAATGGAAATTATTCTAGCTAATTCTTATTTTACTTCATTTACTTTCCGAAAGCTATGTAAATGAAAAGGCTGTGTTACTCTTACAAGTGTAAGGTTGCATTTTTATATATTGAACGTTTTAATAGAAAATAATATATTTGATTAATTTGTAATGATTTATGTATAAGGCTTTTACTTATGTGACCTTAGCCGATAGGAATGTGTTTTAAAAAAATAAAAAAAGGGCGCGAATACTCATTTGTTTTCCCGCGCTTTTGCACAGAGATGTGGGGATCACCATGTAGTGACTAGGCACGATTTGTTTGTAACACTGAAAATTATGATTATAAATTATGTACTCACTGACGTTTATAAAAGTACTGAATATAAGAATATAAGCAAGGAATATCTCGAAGTTTTATTAGGGGCCCAACAAGTAATTTTTTTTCTTCTTAAATCAACAACAATTCTGTTGTTTGTAAAACCTATAAGCATATTCATTTTGTAACATTTACGTGAGTAAATACATAAGAAATAAACATCGAAGAATTATCCTATTTCAAAACATTTCACATACAAATACCTTATTTCAAGTAAAGTACGAACATTATAGCAGTTGGTTCGCATTTAAATTATTCTAGCGGATCGTTTATAGGCCATAACCGAATTCGGGAATTAGCTATAAAACAACATTTGATAGGGGCAGGCGCGGGCGGTGCAATTTGAATGTTTGGGCCGTTTCAGACTCATTGGATTGCTAGGCGCGTGCACCGCGTTATCCTACTGCCTTGCTGCCAGTGACGAGCACTGTTTTATCATATTACAATATTTAAACTTTGAGTCTACGAAGTTTATCCGTTTATTATTTTCAATTACTAAATTGAATATCGTTTTAATGCAGTGAAAGAAAAGTCAAAATAAACATCGGGTTTTCTAATTTCTTTGGTTAATTTAATTTTTAATAGCCGTATTTATTAATATTTTCTTCGTATTTATAATTATACTATCATAGCCCGCGGCTCCGCCCGCGTTCTGATGACCAAAAACCAAATATTTGGGTTTTACATATTAGTATAACTCTTATCAGAAATGAGATATTTTCCCGCGGTAAAAAGTATTATCCTATATGTTGACCAGGATAACCAGCTATCATCATACAAAATTTCATCAAAATCCCTCCAGTGGTTTTTCCGTGATGCGGTAACAGACAGACAGACAAAAATTCTAAAAACTATAGATTTGGCCTCTGTATATAATGACTATTTCATTAAAATTTTCCAAAAAATATTTAATGTACAGATTCGACTTAGTTAGAATTTTATTATATGTATAGATTTTATTGTTCATAGTCCTTTATAACAAGTTGTACTTATGTAATTTTATTTAAATTTCAAGTAGGTAAATATATCAGTACAATTAGCTTTATTAAGAATCGATAGTAATTACCACCTACTTAATGCACTAAATGGAATGCATGTTTTCATATTATAAAAAAGTATAGACATCTGATCTGAATGTATAAATTGATTATTAATAGACCCGATATTTCCATACACAATCTGTGAGAACAACCAGCGTGATACCACGTCTAATAATATCAACATTCTATGGACCTTTTATAGAGCGTGAATCGTGAGTGCTTCGTTATGGAAAAGTTTAATGCTAAATTATCTTCATAATTAAAGTAAGCAAATTATAAGTTACTGCTAATTTTTATATTGCTACATTGAACTTTATTTAGGTTGCTAAGTTTAAGTTAGGGAGCAATTGTACTTATGTTTCTGATTGGCATGGATTATGTACAGGAAGGTTGCGAGTTCGAGTCTTTATTAGAGGAATTGTATGGTTTTCATTAAGATTTAATTTTTAACACAAGATACAACCTACTCATAAGGACAAGTAAAATAGAAGTTATCGCGTAACGAGGTGGCTTTATAAAATCGATTAAAACTAAAAAAAATATTAAAGTTAAAAACAAGACACATAAATGAAAAATATCGAACAATTTTATTAAGTTAAAAGAACGTTGCATGTTTGGCTCAGTTCGTAGTGACGCTACTTGCTGTGCCAGCGGTCGCGGGTTCCAATCCCGCTGGGGGCATCATTTGTGTGATGAGCACAAATGTTTGTACTGTAGTCATGTTTATATTTATAATATGTATGTATTTAAAGTTATATATGTGTAATGTATCAACTATCTGGTATCCATAAGGCCTCGTAGCTTACCATGGAACTGGATAGTGCTGTGTGTTAATGTTCCAACATATTTATTTATTATTTATTTACGTTACTGATGTTTTATTCAATATAATTGGCAATTCTATACCGATTAATATATTAATTAATTATAAAGTGATCATTATTGAGATAAAGACATGTGGATACAAACATAATATAATATAAATCAGCATCTTACTATGAAAAATCTTAGTTATATACATATACGTACATAATATATTTAATAGCTTAAAACTTTCTTTGGATACGTTGAATAAAATCTTGTTATTTCTATCTTAATATATATTACTGTTGATAAATAATCAGTTGCAAACACTTGTATCTAACGATCGAGGCCAACTACGAATAATGTATAGATATAATTAACCGTCGTGACTTAAGAAAGAGATCGCAGCAAACGAGCCAGGAATTGTAAAAAGGAAATATCCTTTCTAGCGATTTAAATTCCATTAAAGCGAAAATAAAAAAAGCCAATTTGAACTTCACATTGTACTCGCTTGCGGTACCACTGATAATTTCTTAGAACCTATTAAACTAATCTAGATATCTTGAAATATTTGTTTTGCCTTTATAATTTTACTTTTAGGTAAACGTAATGTTAATTGATAGAGAACTGTTAAACAATTAATAAAGTGCTTGTTTATGTTTGGTATTTGCATGCTACTCTATCCTAGAGCCCTTGAATAGCACTATGTTATATAAATTAATTTGTTATAACCTACTCTACTTTTACCTTTTCTTAAAAGATGCCTGTTCAGTTGTGGTTTACTGTGCTACGTAAGAATTTCTAATAAATTGTATAGATTTTGTTTTACAGAAAAAAAACCATTTAGAAATAATAATTTCGTCATAGGTTGTCCAAATATTTACTAATAAGTACATATTTCAACACAACATCATATCATCTACATACTAAATACGATTACTAATAATCATTGTATTAGCCAACAATTACGTTCAAATGGCATCAATAGTAATATCTAAGTATCGCAATAACAGCGATAAACACAGTCTGCAGGCGATGCATTGGACGCCTCGATGGACAGCGTCCGACCATCACATGTCCGTCAGTTCTGCTCATTGCGCTTGTTGCGCAATTTGTTCCTTCTCTCCAATCTCTTGCCTAGGCATCGAGAACAATCATTGTCATTATAAACTGAAGCGAGGTGTCTCAGATTTAAAACAACGTTTTGTTTTATTTATTTACTAGCATTGCCCGCGGCTCCGCCCACGTTCAGATTACCAAAAACCAACTTCTTAGGTTTAACATATTAGTACACTCTTAAAATGCAGTTTTTGTATTTTTTCTCAGAAAAGCACACAGAACTTTTCTTTTTATTTAATTCCCAAATATATAATTTCTATTGGTCAAAGTCGTATAAAAATCCGCCCAGTAGTTTCTGAGATTGGTCCGAACAAACATGAACTCGTGACGGGAGCCTTTAATTTATATAATACTAGCGACTCACCCTCTACCTATATATTATATAAATAATATAGGTATAATGAGTTGATATAGGTAGTATTATAACGTGTTTTCTCATGGGTATGATATAATATCCCGCGGTAAAATGTACTATGTCACTCTCCAGCCCTCCAACTATCTCCACACAAAAAATCACGCCAATCCGTCATTTCGTTTGGACGTGAAAAAAGGACAAACAAACACACTCACATTTATAATATTAGTATGGATACTGACGTACATAGTTATTACCCAAAGTTTACAGATTTCTTAATCATCTGTAACCATTCTATTCATATTTTCTATTTTTAAAATATTAAACCTACATACTCGTTAATCTAAGCTAATATCAGTTAAGATATCTCTTTAAATTCTTATCTTTATAGGTTAATCGGTACGAAATCAATTAGTATATGAAACGTTTGGAAATAAACAAATAAATGAACTTATTACGTAACTATGTACAATGGTCTATATAAAGTATGATAATACAAAATTATAATTAGTTAAGAATTGTCTTACTGCCCAACATTAACTTTAAAATGTTGAAACTTTTTAACATATTTAGTTTGATGATGTTGTGTTGTGGAGGAACGGTAATTCCTAGGGAGGGGAAAGTCATTTTCAATTTGAATAATCTTAATGATATTTTGGACAACGAATTTAACTACGAGGTTAAGCAGCAGTCATCAGTATGGCAGAACCATGTACAGGATTTTCTTGATTTAGTCAACTTAGAGAAAGTTTTGAGCACTGCCTTAGGGTTTATAGACGATCCGGAAGTTTTGAGGTTTATTGGATTCTTATTAAGCCCTAAGTTTAAAGATATTGCTTGGGAACTGGAAAGCATGGACGAATTTAAAGAGGTGAGAGTATATGATATATATTTAGAATTTCATTAAAAAACTGAAAGCGAAAGTTGAATACATATATATATATATAAAGTAAAATATTATTTATCATCACTAATATTATTAATTAAAAGGTATAGTTTGTAAGTTTGGATGTAGAGTGTAATCTCTGAAACTCCTGATCCAAATCTAATGCTTTCACTAACAGGAATCTTCATTACTTTTATTGTAGACTATTTCTATTTCAATAAAAATGTGTTTACATAATATAATAAATTATAACAACCTTAATTGAAATCGGAAAAACTGGCCATGGAGTTGCTTTATCGGCGGGCGCTGCTTGAACGGTCTGAAATAAAGCAATTAAATATATTACAAATAGACGGAGCAAGGGTAAGTTGCAAGAAACTAATAAAATATGTAAAATACATTTTTTTTATTTCAGGCATATATATTTTTGAACACCAAAGGCTATGACCTCAAACCAGTTATCGATATCATAAATTCCGGGCTCAGTTTACCTGAGTTTAATAGACCATCTAATATTCTAAGATACAACACAGGGATGTCAGGGTTTATTGCAGCAATGTTTGGTGCAGTACCAATCGAAGATATGAAAAACCTTTTAGAAACTAAAATAAAAAATGATCCGGAAGTAGCAGAGTTCGTTGAAGTTTTGAATTCTGTAGAATTTAAGGATATCATGACACGTATGATGAGTAGTCCAAAAATTATTGAAATTAAATCAATTTTTGAAAGCTACGGCGTAGATTTCGCATTTCTTTGCCACATATTTAAAGAATATTTTGGAGAAGAAATAGTTTGTGAAGTAATGAATAAATGAAGATATTAATTTATATATTATAATGTATTTGAGATATACATTGTAGATGTAATAAATATATTATTTTATAAAATTATTTTTTATTTCTTTTTAGTTGTACAGTATCGACTTAAAAAAGAAAAATATATGTACAATTTGGGCGTACGTATCTTTTTGTCTATGCTATACGATATCTTACCCACTTAATCGATTTTCTTAATTCTTTATATTATGAACAAGCTATCCACAGTGGTCCTATATAAATATCCCAAAAGGTGAAATAACTTTTAAATGATTTTGGAAGCGATGTACCTTTTTTTAGTAAATATTAATTATAATATTGCAAGTATATCATACTACATACTCTCTGTGCTTAACCCTAATCACCTTTTGAACTGACGTCCAAAAAGGAGGAAGTTCTCAATTCGTCGGAATCTTTTTAACCGACTTCAAAAAGGAGGAGGTTCTCAATTCGACTGTATGTTTTTTTTTTTATATTTGTTACCTCAGAACTCCGTCATTTATTAACCGATTTGGACAATTTTTGTGTCGTTTGAAAGGGTATACTTCCAGATTGGTCCCATTTAAATTTCAAAAAAAATACCACCCCTAAGGGTGGAAAAACTACTAATGATGAATTTAACCTACTTCTAATTGTAATATTGACTTGAAACTTTGCAAGTATTTCTATTTCCGTTGATAGTACAGTGGTTCGGTGTTGTTGACCTGATCTGATGGCAAGGCCAGAAGGTGGATAGGTGGAACTCTTCAACGGCTAATAGTAGATACTTTGAGTTTGGGCTTATTTTGTTTGATTTGACAAGCCTAACACGTTAGAATCCTTACTTTTCTACTACTGTCTACACTAAAAAGGGAAAAATAAAAACTTTTTAACAAAAAAATAAAAACCGACTTCAAACAAAAGCACTAAAAAGTAAAAAATAACTGATTGGTAGTTTTCATTTACTATACATACCTAATCAAATATTTTCGAAGTCGGTGTGCTTTGGCTAAGTAATTAAAGCCTACCTATTAAATACATACCTAATCAAATATTTTCGAAATCGGTGCCAGCCCATACAAAGCAAAGCACACCGACTTCGAAAATATTTGATTAGGTATGTATAGTAAATGAAAACTACCAATCAGTTATTTTTTACTTTTTAGTGCTTTTGTTTGAAGTCGGTTTTTATTTTTTTGTTAAAAAGTTTTTATTTTTAATGTTCACCGATTACTCAAAGAGCAGTTTTTTAAATAATCGACAAATAAATTATTTTTTTAAATAAATTGCTTAATCGAATATGTTATTAAAAACTTTCTTCTTACAAATTACCTGCTTATTACGTCTACATTAAAAATGGAAAAATGAAAACTTTAAAAAAATATAAAAACCGACTTGCAGACACTAAAATGTAAAAAAATAACTAAACGGGGGTTTTCATTTAGAATAGATACCTAATCAGATATTTTCGAAGTCGGGGCCAGCCGATGCAAAGCAAATCTAATATATTTCGATACGTAAAATACACCACGAATTGATGTATAATATTTTAACTATCATTAGTGTTCATGTTTACCTATTAGATATCCATACATAGAAAGTTATAAAAATTCATTGAAATAACATTCGATCTAGAAGGGGAAGCAATTTACAATAAATTTCCGATGAGTATCAAAGAACCCTAACAATAACAAGCTCAAAACAAATTAATTTTTCAAACACGCATAGAAGCACTGTTAACTTTATAAATTAGTTGGTTTCCTGATAGGCCTCACTTATTATAGCAGTTTACTGCGGTTTTAAGTTTTTAACTTACATTTTATTTTATGTGAAGATCTTATCAACTACATCGTTATTTGAATAAATAATTCTATGATTATAGTATTTATTTTACCTACATAGATACATAAGCTGTATTTGAAAATTTATTTCTGTTATTGTATTCTATTTCGCAGTATTTGCATGTCAATATTAATTTATACAAATGCCAAGACATAATATGACTTACACGTAAGTTATAGTACAGTGACTTACGTGTACATCATCACTATACTGGTATTTATTATTATAAAACAAAGTCCTCCGCCGCGTCTGTCTGTCTGTTCGCGATAAACTCAAAAACGACTGCACCGATTTTCATGCTGTTTTCACCAATAGATAGAATGGTTCTCTAGGCAGGTTTTTAATATAGGTATAATTTCTTAAGTTTTTGTATACATTGGCTAAAATATTTGTTGGAGGTGTCGGAAAAAATTAAGCCGTCTGGGAGCTTTCAACGAAAACCTGGCTGCCTTAACCCTTTGAGTATAAAAAAAATGTATGGTGGAATTGTGTATCTTATAGGTCTACAGAAAAGTCGAAGATGGTATATGTATATCTCTTAAGGATAACATACTATATCCATTTTAATTTAAAACGTACCTAGGGACGAACCCGAGCGAAGTAAAGGTCAGTCGCTAGAAATAATATAATAATTACAATTTTTTTACACTCATATTATTGTATTTACTCTACTGTAGCCTTGCTTCGTTCCGGGTTAAGTGTTAATATGTTTATGTTACATCCGCAAATAGATACATTTTAATTATTTTTTCTGGTTGTATGCTTTTTTTTGTCAATTACACAGAGATATCTCTCTGTGAAAAATAAAGGGAGAAAGAGAGGACAATAAAAAAAAGGAAATAGGAATAAACTAACAGTGCTTAGATGGCTAATAATCTTACTATAAATTTTCCTTTTGCATCATTTATATTTATGAAAAATAGTGAATGCTTATAGAGCTTAATAGTTGTGAAAATAAAAATATTGCGACTACGTGTTAAGTTTTTATATAAATAGATACTACACCAAAACTTGAAGATTTATCAGAAAATAAGGCTAAGCATGTTTATTATATATCGTAATACGTAAAAGTATAAATACATGCAGTTGTCCCGGCTTCGTGCACGTTAGTACTTATTACATTTTTTTATTTACTGAGTTCACACAGCAAACACTACACACCAAGAAAATTGTTACATATATATACTTACTTTTTATGTCGTATACCGTGAGATCTTTTATTATAAAACTTTTATTATAAATATGTAGTTCTATAAAAAAATTAAATAAGTTTAAAATTAACTTATGTTACTAACTATTTTTTTAATAATAATAAGTTTTTCACTTCTCAAGAAAGTCCATGAAAATTCGGTTTAGTCTTTTCTAAGATCAGTTCAGACCAACAGTCAAGAACATAAGAATTAGACCGTAATAACTAATCAGTATGATGTGGTTTGCAGAAAACTATATTAACTCAACATTTAAAAATCAGAGGCATGCAGTTTTATTTTACATGTAGGTAGAAATATATTATCTTATACCTAACAGTTATAAACTTTTTTGTTTCTTTCCTACAAATGCAAAAATTTAAATTATAATTTAACTAACACAGGTTCATGAATTAGATTTATATTCGGTTACAAGATACTCTTTGTTATACGAGATATGAAATAGGAAAGAGTTTTATTATACATTCTTATATTTATGTGAATACTTGACTTTTTCGGCGGTTTTATTTTATTTTTTTGTTTCCATACACTTCCTCCGGCTTTACATTTCTTTACGTTGAGGTGAATGCTTTAAAACAAATACGCTCACAGGGGAGAGTTTGATTGCACTTTCTTTACTAATCAATATAAAAAAATTCACTTCAAGCCATTCTGTTGAGCTAATAATTCGTCTATCTGCGGAAGTATGAAGATAATTTCTGTACACCCTGCTGAGATAAGTGAAGGCGCTAGGAAGTGGGCTCGTCTGCCGCTCTGCGTCGCTTCCTCCGTCGCAGCTTCCGTTTCCGATCAGACACATGACGTATGGTCCGCCCCTTTCTATACGATGTTTTCTGAGTACTAGCTTTGATCTCACAATTTATTTGCTTGTCAATTTCAGGAAAAGGACACGCGACTCTTTTTCGTATCACGTCGATAAATCTTATCTATATTGGAAATGTAAATAATATTAACATGATTTCGCAATAATATCGCTGTGAAATGGTCTGAGAGAAAAAGTTTTATTTATTTCTAATACTTAAAATGTGAGAATTTTACCTATAAACTAGATCTTTTTACCCGACCGCAAGGAAAGGGTTATGTTTTTCTCGCCTATCTTTGTATGTTTGTTTGTAATATTTTTTATTCCCTCACATCTCCTAAACTAATCTGTGGATGTCTTTAATGTGTCGTTAGATTTGTTGTCATTAGTCCAAGTGTTCTTAGATAGGTGACATAAAAAAATTAAATATGGGAGCTGCTAGATTTCATTGTTTAAGGTAATTTTTTTTTTCATCTTCTTTTACTACAATATGGGTATCAAATTAAAGGGCTCATAACAAGTATTCCAAAACTTGGTGAACTTATTTTCATATTTTTAGTTAGCTTTATGCAGTCGGGATTTTAATTTTTTAAATATATTTTTTTCAATTCTAAAGTCTTTTTCTTCAAGGTAAAAATATTAAATATAAACATGAATGTCCGTTCTGTTAGTCATATCCTGTCCGTCATAAACATAATTATATGACTTATCCTAAGAAACACTTATGTCCAGCAGAGGATAAAAGCAGGCTGCTTACTTTATATCGTAAAAAACGCTAAAGCAAAATTCTTTCATCACATTGAGATGTTTATAATTGTTTTCTTTATCAGTATACTAATAACGATGCGTGAAAACTGTTGACGTATTAAATAATGTAGCGGAAAGGACAGAGGTTATTAATTTGATGCATAGGCCAGATAGCCGCTAAGACCGAATCGCATATGGTGTGATCGAACATGTGGACAATCTTTCACGCTCATCTGTACGCTCACCCTTTATTGATCCACCCTTAAATGTTATAGTAATATGGACCAGAAGATGAAAAACAATAGGTAAGAGTAATATTATATTTTTATTTAAAAGCTTATTTAATCATTTAGTTTATTATGATTTTTTATAGTTTAGTCTTTCGAATAATTGAAAATTAAGAACAATCTACACTTAT